CTTATTAATCTCTCTCATTCTTCATATCTGTAATTAAGTATTAGTAAACAATTATATGTGTACACACCCATATAAGTTTACATAAAATTCTACAATAAATAAATTAATAATCTGCAAATCAAGTTCCTTATTTTTTTTTAGTAAGAAAAGCCTAACAAATCAAAATCATACCAGGCCTTAAGTTTTGTAAATCTGGATTTGGAAAAAGAAGCAAGAAGTATATTTACAATTTTAAAATGTTAACACATAATGTGAAGTTCTAGCTTGTGCATTTTGTGCTCCAGTAATTAACAACAAGACTTAAACATTTCCTGTATGCAAGTTAGAACTAATACATTTCCTTCTTAACATACAGCACATAGTTCACCTAATCATGCAGAACAAAAAGCTTTTCATTTTAAAAAAATATGTAAGACTCTAAAACAATTTATGGGATAAGTGATAGTCTTCCTTTGGTCATCAAGGCAGAGACAGTAGTTAGGGCATGCATGTATCGCTTACTTTCAATAGTGATCTTATATTTCCTCTATTCTCCTTTAGAATTATGCATCTTCATTTTCAAATAACTATTTTGCTCTCTAACTTTCACAAAATACACAAAAGAGTGAAAAAGTGGAACAGAAACATTCTGACAATTGTTTTACTTAACATTGTGAGACCATTTCATCTTCCTCAGTCAAAAACTTATTTAAATAAATACAGGGTATTAATATTAATGGACTTTATATAAAAAATGAGGATAATCTGAGTGACATACTCATAATTATGGCATAATATTTATAAATGTATGGGTGTGTGTGCGTGTGTGTGTGCGTGTGCGTGTGATTGCATGTGTGAGAAAGTGCATGTAACCTAGGGTGTGTGTGTGTGTGCGTGTGTGCATGTCTGAGTGCATTTATATGTACTTGTTTATATGTATGTATATACACACATTTTACGTATATATTCACATTTTAGGTGAATTAAGGTATGAACTTTCTATAACAGATGCATAGAAAAATGTAGCCATTCATAAAATCTACACCCTGCTATTATTTTTCATATAACCCTAATTTCTATGTATCAAAAAAATAAAATAAAATAAATAATAATAATTTGAAAACCTGGGAACTACTAATTCTGTAATTATAATTGCAGCCATTACTTTGCAACTTGTGTTTCAAGGAAAGTGCTTGTGCATTATCTATTAATTTCTATTATTACAATGCAGCCATTAACCCTCAAGAGGTAGCTACCAAATTCTGCCCGATTGTGAGGGCTGGGCTGCTTCAGAGATAGATGCCTGCTGGTAAGGGGTTTTTACTGAAGGTAAATATGGCAAGTATTAATATGGATTTGACAGGACATAAAATGAAGACACATTTCTGTGTGTATTAATGGGTAATTAATGAAAAAATAAAAAAAAATAAAAAACTTTACCAGTTTCAGGACTACAATCACTGCAACTTTACACCTGAGGGTGATGGCTAACCAAATTTTGAATGTTCACAATTGGAATGGAAGATTAAAAAAAAAAATGGTTGAGTATAGTATTAATCTAATAACTGGTCTAATCAAGTATGTAATAAAATTAAATATACATTAGTCTATACTGAAATGGCTGTCATGTCATGGCCTTATTCATTGTACAATCAGGCAAGATGGAGATTTCCAACCCTCCTTGCGAGTTATCATCAGGTAAGATAAAGAATAATATAAAAATAATATAATAATAACAAAAAATAAGCTCTTATTTTGCAAAATATGGGGGGGGGAGGGGGACAGAGGTTTGTTGGCCTTCCCTTGAGCGCCAAGTACAGGAGTCACGCCGCCGCTTCAAGCACACTATTAAGAATAATAATCGTCGAGACTATATATATATAAACACCACAGAAACAAAACAACATTAACAAACCACAAACGTTTACTGACATTAAATTATAAGCTAAATTTTACCTGCTTTAATTTTCGTTGTTGTTCCGGGCATTAAACCCCAAAGGAAGGAGAGTTTCCGGGCTTGGGAGGAAACATCGATTATAGTAAGACGCGATTGCAATAGATGGCGCTGACCTATATTACCTTTATCGTTTCTGGTTAATGTTATAATTTCATGCACTAAAGCTCTTAGTAACACGTTCTGTTGATTGTATGGAATGCTAAGAAAGAAAATTCGTAATTATTATTTTATTATTTTACTCATTGTATTTTTCGTCCAGTCGTAGTTTAGGCCTACATTTTAGTTTGACGCGGGTTTAATAGGTGGCGCTGACTGGTTAGTGCAGGATCACATTTTGCCTTTGAATGGGAGTGGAAACTTTCCTATCTTTCATTTGGAGTCTGTTTATCAACAACCCAGATGGACAACGGACGTATTTTTTCTAGAAATTTATAAAGCTTAAAATAATTTTTATATTGCCAATGTTAAGAATGAAAAATATTTTGGAATAGTATAGGATAAATCATTTCTATTTTAACAACGTTTTGGGGAAATGAGAGATATGCATTCAGATATGTATGCGTGTCTGTTTGTGTCTGTGTGCATGTGTGTGTGCGCGTGTCTATATATATATATATATATATATATATATATATATATATATATATATATATATATGCACACTCGCGCTCGCAGACATTCACACATGTCTCGTTCTCTCTCTCTAACTTTTAGCTTGTAGAATATTAATGTTTCTTTTATAGTTGGAACATAATCTCTAATTATTACCTACACCAAGGAGGTTATGTTTTTGACGGCTTTGGTTTGTTGGTTTGTTTGTTTGTTAGCAGCGTAGCTCAAAATTTCATCGAAATTTTGGGGACAAGTCAGAAAGGGACTAACTTAGAACTGATTAAATTTTGGTGACATTCCGAATTACCGTCTGGACGCAGCCAAAGTATATATATTATATACGCACCTTGGCGGAGGTCTGCACTCTCTGAGTGCTTTTCTAGTTATTATTATTATTATTATTATTATTATTATTATACACACATTAATGCATTTATATATCAGTATGTATATATATGTATATATATAATATATATATATATATATATACATATATATATATATATATATATATATATATATATATATATATATATATATATATATTTACACACACACAGTATATATGTTCCGTTCGTCGCTAGTTGGAAAAAGGTTTTAAACCTGAATGATCCTCATTTTCTTCAGTGATTTTTTTTACTAAGTTTTTTATCATAATCATGCAAAGGAGTTTCTGCTCATCCATTATAATGATTATAAATTATACTGGAACATTTGTATTGTTCCAACTGTCAACAATAACTCTTAGCGTAAATCATTTCAGTATACATGCAATAAATGAAATAAAAAAATATTCAAACGATAATGCCTTTGATAACTCACTCAGAAACAAACTGCTCAGTAGTATAACCGGTTCACATCCCTTCCAGTTAAGGGTTAGAATCGTCAGAAGGGAATCGGTTCCTGAACCGGTTTAAACGGTTCCATCAAGGTGGTACGGAACCAGTACTAATGTCTTGAAACCGCTTCCTTGGTTGGCACAATTCTTCGCCATGTGTTAGTTACCAAAGCTAAGTGGCTTAATATGGATTGTGGAAGTCATAATTGTGGCTAAATCTTAGACATAATAATATATAGTATTTGAAAAATACGCTTTGAAATTAATCATTATATGATCTTATATCATTAAATAGTGCGTAAGACAAAAACTTGGCCAACAGTTTCGATTGGCGTTGGCGGTATATTACCGTATAGGCCTATACAGCTTACAAAAAAAAATCACCAAAAGGTTTAAGGACACAGCATAAAATGTTAAAAGTAATGACTCGCTGCAGTATCGGCCTCAGGATAGTCAAGGTCACTTGTCCTGTGTTTCAACAGGTGCATGTAGTCAATGATTTAATGTAAGCACTTTTTAAAAATATGGAAATCCCCAATTTCTCACTTGAGACATGGCAGCCATCGTCACATCGTGTTCCTCTGTTTTATAGAATTGAGTGCCCGGAGGCAAAATATTGGCGGAACCTATGCCTTCTAAACTCCCCATTGAAGAGGTAGCTACAGTGAGCCACTTATTTCTAGTGCCGGGGACGTTGTGCTTGAGGAACTAGTTCTGGAACCGGTCCCCACACTTCCTGTAACTCGGAATGCTGGTAGATTTTAACTGGTTCTTTCCCCCAACCGTAGTAAAGTGCTCTGAACACTCACTGATTCTCTTCCCTGTTATGATGATAAACATGTGGAAATTTTCAGTGGTCTCATATTACGCAAATACTCAGGCGTCTATTGAATGCCTAACATCACAGCCAGGCAAGTACTATATTTGACTTCAGAAAGAATATAAAGTTAGTGGAAACGAATGGCTAGTCTCGAAATCTTGGATTTCATTTTCAGGCTTGGAGCCAAAATCCAGGAGGATCTCGAAACTTGTCTCACATTTCAGCAAAGTATAGTGGGGTGTTCTGTCATTAGAGGAAGTGAATATTGATGGCTTATTCGACAACAGGAATATAATGAAACTAGAAGTTGACATATTATTCACTAAACCAAAACAAGGTTGTTATGATCATTACTATTACTATTCATTACTTTATTGAAAATGCGGATCCCGCGGGAATGAGGATACTAACCACGCTGGACAGGAAAATGTTGTGAACCATCATTGTGACTTTAAATTCTGTATTAATAATGAACATTTCGTAATAATGAACATGTAATACGTTTTACTGATGTTTTATGAGATCAGATACGTTTTTATTCTTATTTCTAAGATTACATCTACTGTTATCAAATCTACAGATATTCTGCAACCCCAATACCAGTTTGTGTTAATATAAACTTTTTTTCAAAATGGCTTCTGAGAACACATATGATTTACAAATGGAAATAAAAGTTGGACTACCCTGCAATACTTATGAAGAACTAGGTAAATTAATTAAATGAAATTGTATTTCACAGCGTTGGGATTTCGAAACCGCTTTTAAATAGAAACCATTTCCTCGGTAGTATAGTGGTTAGTATCCCCGCCTGTCACGCGGGAGACCGGGGTTCGATTCCCCGCCGGGGAGGCAATAATTTTAAGCGTAATCTTGTAATCTATATGATAAAGCTAGAACTTATAGGGATGAAGTGGAAAATGTGCATTATAGATGAAAATTATGCAACAGATTGTTTATATACATGAACCTACACATATAAATACATGGGTGGTATATATGCACGTGCACCTATCGTCTGAATTGATACAGTTGTACAAAAAGCCCAATTTGGTAGACAGATTGCATTCGAAAATAACATTTTTCTCTGTAGGGCTTATTTATCATGACTGCATGCATGTGTGCGCATGATTTATTAGATTTATGTAACCAACCTCTGCCTACAACCAGAAAAAAAAAGGATTTCATTACATTTGGGTTTCGAAAACACGTAAACTTTAGAAACCAATTCCTCGGTAGTATAGTGGTTAGTATCCCCGCCTGTCACGCGGGAGACCGGGGTTCGATTCCCCGCCGGGGAGGAAATGTTTTTTCTAGCTTCAATTTTGTGAATTGGCTACGTAATAATACGCAATAATTAATGAGGAATGCCTGAATGGAAACTTGATGAGGTTTATGGAGCTAAATACTGATCACATCCAGAAGAAAGGGAATTTCATTATATTTGGGTTTCGAAAACATGTTACATCATGAAACCATTTCCTCGGTAGTATAGTGGTTAGTATCCCCGCCTGTCACGCGGGAGACCGGGGTTCGATTCCCCGCCGGGGAGGTCTCTATTTACCCCAGCTCCATTTTATATGTACAGTTCATTACAAGATAAACACATGAATTAGCTGTTTGATGTCTGAATTACATATTGATAGATCCCAAATGATGCAATCAGTCCACTTTTTTGTGTGTGCAATTTGTGAGAGGATTCAGAAAAAAACTGTATTACATTTGGGTTTCAAAAACTTCGACTTTAGAAACCAATTCCTCGGTAGTATAGTGGTTAGTATCCCCGCCTGTCACGCGGGAGACCGGTCTTCGATTCCCCGCCGGGGAGTCACTGATTTTACACCAATTTTGTCATGGAAACTGAAAAAACGAATATCAGGATACAAACTATACAGATAAAGAAACATACATACATAGATTACATGCACAAAAAAGTGCTTCAAAGTAGGGGATTCCAACATTATGCAAACAGCCAAAATGGTTTGCATTCTAGTTCTAGTACCATAACAGTTATTATAACACCATCCCAATGTGAGTTGGCATGTGTGTTATGACTAATGAGATTTAAGCAGTTAACCGTAGTCTAGCTGTATTGCTGATGGTGAAGCAAAGAGAACTGTAGTATGGTTTTTAAAGGCTTCCCTGGGGATATGATAAAAGTAACAAACGCTAGATTACATAATTGTGATAAAAAAAGAAATTGAGGAACTGGCTGTCTAATTCAAGGAAATTATCAGGTACCGTGGGAATGAGGCTTAAGGAAAAGCATTAGAATGGATGTTGAAAACCATAAAGACGATGAAAATACCTAAATATTCACATTCCTTACTCTAAAGTATAGAACCATTAAAAGAGGATGGAGGGGCAATTGATATGTCACAACAATGACCAGTGAAGTATATTGTTATTGTTAGGGAGGCACTGTTTCTTATCCTAATTTCACAACACATCAAAGAACGAGAAGGGAAGATATAAATCACAAATGGAAATCAGATAATAGATTATGTTTGTGTAAGGGGATGAATTCCTGGAGCATGTAAGAATATCACTCATATTCAGAGACACTTCGGACACCTTTTAAAGAGAGCTGGACCCGGTGTTCTAGCATCTCCTGCCCGTCAGCTAATCAGAGTCTAGGTCCACTGAAAACGGTGTCCGAAGTGTCTCTGAATATGAGCGTATCTCTTGTTTCAACCCAAATAATAAAAAAAAGTTCGGTATCAACGGAGAGACAGAAATAAGTAAGTGGTAGCTTAAATAGCTTGCATGATTGTGGCCAAAGCTACTTCCATCTAACCAGACCCAAGGAAATGCCAACGAAGTCTCATTAATCAAGAATTAAAAAAATATAATAATAATATAAATAAATACATACAGATATCAAGAGTACGACAGAGCAAGACAGAAATCTAGCATTAACTGGCAGGGGACACTGCTTATAGCCTATCCATCTTAGTGCCAAGAAGTCATCCACCATCAGCAATCAGTAAATTTCAAGCATGCAGCCATTTAAAAAAAGAAGAAAAAAAACGGTCACCGTGTTACCCTCAAAGATAATTCGTAATTAGGCAGAAAATCTTCAAACAGAAATTCATAATAAACAGAGATTTCACCCAACGATCATCCGTTTCATTATATATAATATATGGTAATCTAATCATCTATTAGTTCGGTATTAAATAACTGTAACAACCGAGATGAATAATGAAAACGACTACAGCACTGAAATCACTCAGCAACTAGTGTTTACGGAAAGGCTGATTTGTTATCACAACACAATGTCATGTCATGTCAGGT